TTAACCTAGCATCTAGACGAAACTGATATTGCACTTGCTTCCCTATAATTTCAAAGCACCATTGGATGGTGCTTTTATTTTCTCTGCACAACTTTCTATGACATTAATATCTCCATATTCTCTTATCACTTTGAGAAGATATTCTTTGATCCTAACTCTGCGTTTAATTTCCTCTTCTCAATAGAGATGTGGAGTAACTTTTAAAGCTACAAAGAAGTGGCTTTTGATAAAAACCAAAGGACCCAGAAATATTTTTTCCTTCACTGCTGTTAATGGAGAGAGAAAGTGATAGGATACATTATGATGGTGAGATAGCACCATGATCTGTAATTTTATCGATTCACCTTGCAACAATTTACCTACCAGAGACTGCCTTGGCTGACATTTTCTTTTGCCCCGTCAAGGACCACAAATCCTGAAGGGGCTTCCTAACTGAGCTCCTTCCTTCAACATCATCCCTACCCCAAAATCTATATACGTGGTGCATGAGTGTAAGAACTCCCAAAAGTTTATCCAGCCGTAATACTTAAAATCACCAGTAGTTTCACACTGACTCATGACTAAACCTAGCACTTTTATAAGGATTTCACAGCCCTATGAAGGACCCCTGTTTCTGCTTCAGCCTTTAATCTCATCACACCCCTCAGTTCCTTGAGCAGCTTGTGCTGTCCTGTGCCTTCAGGCCATGATACATGCAATTCTTCTCCTCTGCTTTACACTCCTGGTCCCTCTGTCTGTTGACTAGCATCCTGCACATGTCTGGTGCACAGTGAAGATGGAACAGGAGCATATGCTGAGGAAATGTTAGAGGAAACTACATAGATTAAAAAGGATAAAATTGTCTCGTATTTTCTGATCTTAGCAAAATAGTCTTTAAAATATACCATATAATTGGTAATTTGTGCTTGAAGGTAAATTCACTCCATTAAGAATTATAATGTCATGTTTACTATAAAACGAGTTAATCCTGGGCCTGGGGAAGTGAGCAAAATGGGAAAGGTGCCAGCTCCCAGCAAGTGTACATTCTATAGGAACAGGCAGAAAAGGACCAATTGAATGATAACGTGAGACCATTTCAAGTCTAAATATTTAGCAAGAAGTTCATAATATAGGACGATGCACCTAACTGACTTTAGGGAAGGACACATCCAATTTAGGTTGCATGATTTGAATAGTTTCTTTAACGCTAAGACCTCGATAACAGAAAGTAGTCTTGGTTTTAAGAATGCAGAAAAATATTCAAAGCTCATGGAATACAAATATCATGAGGTGGAAATTAACTCCATGTGTTCAAGGAAGAAGAAAGGCCGGAAGAGGTGGAGCAGAGGGCAGGAGACAAGGTCAGAAGACTTCTCCAGCTCTGGTCACAACTGGCTCTGCAGGCTTGGTACAGTGCTCCTGCACAGGTGTGGTGCAACTGGAAGCCAGTGGGAAGTCTTAGGTATAGAAATGATGTGATCGAGTTTAGCATTGTCTGAGTGGGTTCTAGCTACAATGTGGAGAGTGCATTAAGTAAGAGCAGAAGGACATCAAGGTGTTTACCGGGGACTCAAAGTTATCTTGTGTTATAGACACCAGTTCAGCTCCACCCAGCACTGAAATAGAGAAACACTAAAGTCAGCGTGCTACCATCTTGTCATATTTTAATTTTAATGTGTATCTTTATTATGATGTAAGGGTATTTCTAGACTCACAGAAATTTCAAAAATTTGTTTAAGAAGTTACTGTAATAAAGGAATAGATTGAATCAAAGTATGTGCTAAATGGTAGGCAATACTTTACCTAGCAGGTTGCTTTAGCCAGAGAGGAAAAAGTTGGAAATGGGGATCTACAGGTAAAATAAGTTTGACTCGTAAGGAGCATTTGAGGAGAGCAGAGTAAAAGTGGCTTCCGTGCCCTGACTTCATGAAGTTCTAGAAAGATCTGGACTTGGAATCAGAAGATCTGAGTGGGAACCTGAATTCAACACAATGTGTAACAGATATACCATCTCTAAGTTTCTGGATGACTCACTATCACATAGAACATCTCTACCATGAGACTAGTCAGACCTTAACCTAATGTGAAAATTACCAATTCATGGTTCTATTGGTTATAATGATGACATTTCTAACATCCCTTTCTCTTCAAATTCTTTATATAGGCAATTTTTCCATAGAGTAATAGAGCTAAAAACTTGCTTCTTTATCATTATAAACATCAGCTCATATATTCCTGTCTTCTCACATGCTTAATATGCAAATTTCTCAGGGCTGTAGTGAGTAAGTTGATTTGTCCAACTACTTGTTCGTGTTGTAACTACCCAACTGAATTTCATTTCAGGATGTCCAATATCTTATTTACTTTTTTCAGGTGCATACATTTAGACATGTGCAAGAAATTTATTCCTATTTATTTAAATATAGTGAGAGATGAGCCAATGAAAGTATATCTTTTAAAATATTTTTAATTAAAATGTAAATAAGGCAACTTGAAAAGGAAGGTTAGTAGCTGGTCAAACTCAATGAAGCTTGGTTATTTATAATATATATATAATGTTTAATTTTTTTTTTACTTTTGTCCAGTTATATGATCAGCACCTTCCTTAATCCATTATAATCTCCAAATGAGATGACACTTAAATCTCTACACTACACTGCTGCTAAAATTCCCTGAGAAGTCCTTTTGATGACAGAAATGAGCAATCACAAAGATTGAAAAATTCTAGGTATGTAGCAGTATCAAAGTTATACAGGAGCTGGGACATAATTTGTGAAAGCAGATTGACTCTTCCTGATTCATTGTTTTGTTTTTTTAAAAGATATATTTATTTTTAATTTTTTAAATTTATGTGTGTGGGACTGGAGAGATGGCTCAGCAGTTAAGAGCACTGGCTGCTCTTGCAGAGGACCTGGGTTCAATTCCCAGCACCCACATGGCGACGAACCCATCTTTACCTCCAGTTCCAGGGGATCCAAGCCCCTTTTCTGACCTCTATGTGTGCTGCATGAAATGGGTGCACCTACCTACATGTAGGCAATACACTCATACACATAAATTAAAAATAATAAATAATTTTTTGTCTTTTTGAAACAAAAGTATCTTTGTAGCCCCAGCAGGCCTGGCTGGCCTCAAACTCATGCCTGCCTCTGCCTCCCAAATGCTGCAATTAAAAGCGTGCACCACCATGCCCAGCATAATAAACATTTTTTAAAAATTAAAATAAATAGATTTTTAGAACATATACTCTTTCAGATGATTACATGTATAAGTTTAAAGTCAAAGATGGGATTTCAAAGCAAGAGAAAGAAAAACAGAGCCAAAAAATATGACATTTCAGAAAAAAATGAGCCAAATGAAGGAACAACCTAAGCACAGTGGGCAAATGCAAACTGCTCAACACTGGGACATGTCCAGTCTTTCCTCAGATCTTATCTACTGTCTTTGCAGCATCTAATGGTGCTACGAGGGACCTTGCAACCAAAATTTCAGTTTGATTTTTATAATGGAAAAATACAGCAAAATTACAAAAATGCCGTAGAAGTGGAATATATGCCAAGGGGTCAAAACCCTCCAATCAAATTCTTACCAAGAAATATATTGTTCAGGTGGAGTTTGTCAGATTCATTTACTTAAGATAGTTATAATTATTTAACATACAGGGGGAAATGGGTTCATAGAGTGACTATGAAAGGTTTCTCTTGTAGTATTTGATAATCCTACACAGTGCATCTGTACTCTGTGAACTTCTTAAACCTTTTCTGCTTGCGATGTACTCTGAAACATTAAGGTTGCTTTTGTGCATGCCCAAAGCAAATACAAATAAGTCTTTCACAGCTAGGTATCTGGATTAAACAAGTCCACAGTAATTAACTCATGTGTCGACCAGATAGCTCATGATTCTATCTAAACATTATGGTCAGCACATTAGTTAGTCTAGAGCCCACTGCTTTCTAGAAAGAACTCTTTGTATCTCACTCTGAATCTCCTCTTTTATTTCCTTGTGAGAACACCTTGGGTGAGCCACATACAAACGACTTGCAGCATAAACTTTTCTTTGTGCCTGTCTCTCACGCAGTGCCGAGGGCGTATTTTCAGTGTAATAGATCATTCTGCACCTGCTTTGGGGGTCAACATTCAGACACCCATTGTTTTTGAAGTATGGGACAACTATGACAAAAACTAAAATTTTCACATTGATTAAAATTTTGTGGTTTCTGTCAGGGAGTTCTCTCACTGGGTGAGAATTGTTTGTGTTTTTGTATCCTTCCAAGTGTGCTTTATAGAGGAATGATTGTTTTACAAAATTCCTAAGATAATGACATTGCTTATCCTACTTCAAGTCAAATTTTGAAACTGAGATGCTTTTTAGCAACACTATCTGAAAATCTTACCGGTTTTATTTGGATATTTTGTCCCACTGACATCTGTAGGGAAAGATCAATCTGAGTCAGAGGCAGGTGTTTGGAGGGAAGATTGTAAGAACCGAACAAGCGCTCATATCAAATGAAGGAAGCATTTCAGTATCATCACTTTGAACTTTTAGAAATGATCCTTTGTCCTGTTCTGCCCTGTTCACTTCTCCCTCCCTCACCCCCACCAATACAAATATTTACAGGATTATTTTAAATTTTGAAATGTTGTCTGTTCAAACCATGCTTTAGTTTACTGCTAAACCTGAATTGTAAACTTGATCTGCCATTAAGGAATCTAAATACATTGCCTTTTTGGAATGGGAGCATTGGGGGAATCCAAACAATAGGCGTTTTTGCACAGGACAAGTCTGGTATAGCTTTATTACACTCTGCACCTTTCATCCTGGGAACCATGCAGGGTGTCGTCCTATGTAGTTCCAAAATGTCTGAGAATGGAATCCTGACTTGCCTCTCCACCCACATCCTTTTCACAGTTGCCAGCACCTCTCTTTGCTTTCTTTGTGCTCCTTTACTTAGAATAAGAAACTTGTCCTTAGAGTGTGCATCCTTCTGGTAACCAAAGTCTCCCCTTTTTCTGTTTTCAAGGATGGGAGGAACAGTTTTATTGGACACCAGCTGGGCGGGGTAGTGGAAGTGCCAAACAGCAAAGACCAGCGGGTCAAGTCAGCCAGAGCCATTCAAATCACCTACTACCTCCAGACCTATGGCTCGGCCACCCAAGACCTCATAGGGGAGAAGTGGGAGAATGAGTTCTGTAAGCTTATGAGAAAGCTCCAGGAGGAGCATCAAGACCTCCAACTCTACTCTTTAGCATCCTTTAGCCTCTGGAGAGACTTTCATAAGACCAGCATCCTAGCCAGAAGCAAAGTCCTAGTGAGCCTCGTGCTGATACTGACCACAGCCACCCTCTCCAGCTCCATGAAGGACTGTTTGCGCAGTAAGCCTTTCCTGGGCCTCCTGGGGGTGCTCACAGTGTGCATCTCCATCATCACTGCAGCAGGAATCTTCTTCATCACCGATGGAAAGTACAACTCCACCTTGCTCGGAATCCCGTTCTTCGCCATGGGTAACTATCCATCCTTGTGGTAATCGGATTCTTACCGTTTTGGGGCAAGGTAGTATATTTCTTGAATTCTCAGGTGGAAATCTGTTTTAATTTTGCACTGGTGTGTCTGTGTGATTATGTAAGATTTTTCTTGAGGTCTGTGTCTGTTTTACCTTACTGAGCCCTTCAGGAATTTAAGGAATGAACAACCCATCCTTCCCTTTAAGCTGGTATGGTCAAATGTCTTTAAATGATACAATATTGGAAAATTTCTACTCAGTTTCCTCATGACAAATAGATTGGAATTATCAGATTAAAAAGCTAAGGAGCATAGTTGTGCATGGTGGCACACACCTTTAATCCTAGCACTTGGGAGGCAAAGGCAGGCTGATCTCTGTGGGTTCAAGGTCAGCCTGGTCTGCATAGCAAGTTCCAGGCCAGCTGAGGATAGGAGACCCTGTCTCAAAAGACCAAAAATTAATTAATTATTAAAAGAAATAGAGCCCGTACCTATTTCAAAGAGATTTGGGGCCTTCATCATGGGTAGACCTCAAGTTAAACATCATGAGTGTAAAAGTCTGAAACCCACTGATATGTCCTCATATATGAGACCTTCTAAAGTAAGCTCAAATTCATTTCAAAGTTTTTATAGAGTCCACTCTAGTCCTCAGCCTCTGTATAAAACAAAACTTGTTTTCCACCACTTAGATGTGTCATCAAACTTTTTAAAATCAAAAATAACTAGCATCTTTAATCAAGATTATGCCTTCATATGAGTTTTCTCCCAGCCACATACAATAATTTCCCAACCATACACATGTGTAGGTGTACATATGTATGCAGGTATGTGTGTGTGTGTGTGTGTGTGTGTGTGTGTCTATGTGTTCTTGCAAAATGGAAGATAAAGTCTGGGAATAAGCAAGAGCGAGAACTCCTCAGTGATAGGATGGTTGTGTCTTACCACTGATGAGATGATGCTGATATCTGTGGTATTCAAAGAGTTTTGTCCAGTGTGGTGTCATTGTGTGTATGTAACAACTTAGAAATTGATGCTCCAGGTGGTGAACTCACAGGAGCAAAAGATTCTTCAGCTGTAAAGTTACTGCTTTTGATTCCATAAATTAAATCAATTTTTAAAAAGTTACATCATAAAGTGTTAAAGGTACAGGCATACCCAACCTCCTTTTCTTCTTCCTTCTCAGTCATCTCTGTAAATGAACAGCACAAGGAAGTCCATGTTGCTGAGACTGGATGTCTGCATTGGGAATCCAAATTCATTATAGCTTATTAAGTTAGTTCATCTACTTAAGAAACTACTTCTTGAATAAAATGGAGATACTACTAATTTGTTTCTTTTTCAATGTAATAGAATATAATTAAACATAATAGTTCAAAATAAACACTTAACAAATACCTGTGAGTTTTAGTAATGCCTGAGTGCAGTGAATTCAGTAGTGATAAGGGAACAAAGTGATCCCAAGAAATTGAGTGTGCTAGAATTTGCATATCACCTCAAAATACATATTTATTTGCTTTATAAGTATCTTTTCTTCCCAAAGAACTATGAGAATTTTTTTTCCACTAATGATAATGATAAGTCTAAGACTGAATCATTGATACCTTTTATCCTTTATTGGATTTCAGGATTTTTTTTGAAACAGGGTCTCTATTTATCCCCAGCTGGAACTTGTGCTATAGACCAGGCTGGCCTCAGACACACAGAGATCCACCTGCCTCTGCCTCCTGAGTGCTGGGATTAAAGGCATGCCCCACCAGGCCTGGCTTGGATTTCAGTTTCTTAACTTAAAAAAATAACATAAGCTTTCTAAGAATCAGGCATAAGATTCATAAACAAAACATGGCATGCTCTGGGTTGACAAATTTAATGCCTTAGACCCTGGTGTGGCTTTGTTCAAAACCAGTGGAAACTAATTAGGTGATAGAAAAATTTTTTCAGAAAAAGTGGAATGATATTTTCTATATAAATGAGGTGGAAAACTACCTCTACTGATGCTAGATTGTAGTCTCCAGAGGCAGAACAGTGTTTTCATTCCTAGCAGCAAGAACACCAAAAGCCACAGTGAGGGAGAAGTCCAGATCTATGGAGCACTCTTTGTACCCATCAATGACCTTTACAATCATAAACCAACCCTGGACAGTGAGAATATAGACTTTAAGAAGCCAGGTTAGCAGCTAGGGAGATGACTCCAAGGTTAAGAGATTGTACGACTCTTATAAAGGATCTGGTTCAGCTCCCAGATGTGACAACCCCCTGTAACTCCAGCTCCAGGGTATCCAATGCCTTCTTCTGGCCTCCACAGGTACTACACTCATGAGCACAAACCCACACACAGACTATGCATGAAAAATAAAATCATTTACAAAGTAAGCCAGCTTTATGGTTACTCTCAGTGTTGCTGTAGTTCTGAGAGGAATATGTGTGCTGTTCTAAATGTGTTTGTTCTAAAGCACAAGGAAAGTAAGTCCTACAGACATATATTCCAGACTTTTGCTCTGTCAAAAGAAAATTTTATTTTCTGTGTAAAATGACTGTGGAAGTTAAGATGTCAAGATGTAGAGCTAGAGAATGAAAGGAATATTTCACAAATTTAGAGCCTATGTCTTCATCCCAGTTTTTTTTACTATCATTGTGTGTTATCCTAAGCAATCATGTATTGTCTCTTTGTCCCAGTTTGCTACTTGTTATCAAATTGTGAGGCTGCTACAATATAATTCATCTCATTATTTATTGAAGTTATAATTATGTTATTCCTCATAAAACCTTTTATGTTTTTTTATTAATCTCAAACCTCTAACCTACTGCTATCTAGAGAATGGGAGAGAGAGAGAGAGAGAGAGAGAGAGAGAATTATGCATAGGAAAAACCACAGCCTTGCGGAGAGAGAATCAAATATGTGAAACTATGAGTTAGAGAAAACATTGTGTCTGTGAAAGTACCAAAGGAGAATGCAATGTTAAATATAAATAAATTTAGTTTGTCAAATGTATTTGCCATTGGTATACACAACATTGGCTGAAGCAAACCCTTGGTGAATTAGTTTACAAAATGACAAGACTACATAATCCAAAACCAGTTGGATATAAGGGAAAGAGGCCCAACACTTCATGTGAACCTTGATTTCTATCTCCATCTTCCCAGAAAGATTTTGCATGCTAAGAGCTCAAACTATTCACCCTCACGAACATCATCCAAAGAGCCGTGTGTATCATACATGGTATCTATCTTACCAATGAAAGCAGACCTGCTGACATGTCTTTCATTGCGCATGTTCTTGACTCATCTACCTGTTTATTCTGCTTTTTGATCAACTTACTATCTCCATTGTCATCTCAGAGGCACATATAATGCACCTAAATAGCCTACCTTTTTTAAAAATTTTATTTATTAATTTTATTTTTTGTGTATTGCCTGCATGTAGGTAGGTGCACCCATGTCGTGCAATGCCTGCAGAGGTCTGAAGAGGGAATTGGATTCCTCTGGAACTGGAGTTACAGATGGTTGTTAGCTGCCATGTGTGTACTGGGAATCAAACCTGAGTCTCTTGCAAGAGCAGCCAATGCTCTTAACCACAGAACCACCTCTCCAGTACCCACCTCTCCAGTGTAGACAATACACTTTTTATAAACCAGTGCTAATTGTTGTCCTTTCTCCTGCTGTTCACATAAGCAAATTTGTATTTGTCAAGTTACATGTTCCATATTTGGGGTTAGAAAGGAAGATGACTACAGGAACACAGTCTCTACATGTTCATGGACAAATCTACAATTAGAATAAAAACTTTTGTGTGAAATGACTCCAGTTAGCTCAAACCTGATATATTTTCTCTATTCAAGCATAAACTCATAAGAATACTACTAATTAAATTTACAACTCATTGCTGGCCTTCATAAAAATCTTCATTTGCTGGGACCTGAGAGAAGTTCAACAGTTAAGAGCACACACTGCTCTCCCAGAGGACCCAAGCTTGGTTCCCAGCACCTACATCAGGCAGTTCACAACCACTTATAAGTCTAGCTCCAGGAGATTCAATGCCCTTGGCCTCTGCACGTGTACACATAATTTAAAATAATAGAAATATTTTTTTAAAACTTCATTTGCTTTACATGTGTATGTTCCTTCTTTCTGGATGGGGAATTTAGGCTGAAACACATGAAGATGCCAAGCTGGCTCATGTTTTCCCTTGATGGCCTCCTATAGACAGTTCCCAGGACATTCGCTGCTATCTTGTTCTATCCTTTCTGAGCTTCCATTATATGGTGAGAGTCTCAGGTTAGTCGCCTTGACACATAGAGCGTTAGGCTTTTGCAGATGATCCCAAGGTTTACAAACATGGGTTTTTGCATCTATCAAACTGAGGACCATCTTCATTTGTTTATTAGCTGGATGTATATTTATTGAATGCCTACTATATCCCAAGAATTTAGGGTTATAAACTGAAAGACATTGAACAGAATGGACCAAGTCATTACCCTCATGGATTTTACACATTAGGCCCAACAGAGGGAAGAAACAGGACAGTAAAATAAATGTAAGCTTCATCATATTGACAACCTTCCATAACTTCAGGTCAAGGGGAATCTGACACCCTCTTCTGACCTCTGCAGGCATTGCAAAACACAGGTGCACTTACATACATGTAGACAATACACTCATACACATAAAATGAAAATAATAAATAAAATATTTTTAAGTAGAAAGCTAAATCAAGTGAAAGAAAGAGCCATGTAGGAATCTGAGAAAAGGTGTATATATGGCAAAGAGAATGATATGCTCAAAAGGACTGAGACTGGGCCTGGCTTATTGAGGTTGAAGAAGAGGAAGAAAGGGAGTGTTGCTGGAGTAAAGTGCACAACTTAAGAGAAGGGCTCAGGGAACAGTACAGAGACAGATCACATGGGCACTGACAAGTTCATTCTTTAGATTTTTATCTGGGTGAGGCAGAGTGTTACATGAAGCATTTTGAAACAGGAGGGTATGATCTGGCACATTATTAAAGTAT